TTGCTGTATGCACAAAGCATTGTCCTCTTCCTTCAGCTGTTTTTACCCACATGCACGTGTTTGAACTTCTACCTCTCCCTCATGCTCCTTCTCTCTCCTTTTTTCTTAATGGCTAGAAGATCCCTAGTCCTAGCAGGTTTATAAAGACCTAGTTACACCACAAACAATATGTTGGAATATATTTAAACCAAGTAAATACAAGTATGTAAATACAAGTACTGTACAAATATCTCTTCATGACATTTCTATGACTAGCAATCCTCTAATTACTAAGTATAACAAACACTGGGTAAAGGGACAGCTAAGCAACTCTTGAGTGCTAGACCTGATTGAGAACAGAGAGAAAAGAAAAATCTGATTGGTTTTTGCTAAATCTAACTTTCCAGTTAAAAAGCAGTCACCTCAAGGGCTTACCTAGACTATTCTTTATTTACTACCATCTCAGCAAAATGGGATTGGTACCAGAACAACTCTATCCCAACCTTTCACCTTTTGTTGGAGATCTCCAGAGCAGTCCCACAGGAGTTGAAAAGCTCTTACAACTTGGCTTTTACTTGGGCAAGGAATTGGGAGGATGGTGCCCACTGTGGGGAAGAAAACTGCAAGCACATCAGTATTTATTCCTAATAATGTTTATCATATGTAACACAACTGAGACAATTTTAATGTGAAAAAAAATTTGTATAAAACCAGCCATCAGTAAATGTACCTCTGTGTAGCTGCAGCCTGGAATGCTGAAGTGAGTTTTGTCCTGCTTGTGCTTGCCAAGGACAGCTACTGCAGAAACAACAGTTGTCTTAGACTGACTTTTTTTTTTTTTTTAGTAGCTCAATTTACAGGAGCTTTTGCATTTTCTGCCTTCCCAGGCTGCTTTGTTTCTGGTCTGTTTCTGGAGGGAGCAGACTGGGACACAGAGCACAGCTGCCTTGCCAAAAGCAAGCCCGGGGTCCTGGTGGTGGAGTTGCCCATTCTGAAGATAATCCCTATTGAAGCACACAGGCTCAAGCTCCAGGTACCACTCCATGGCCGGTAGTCCCTTCCCTCTTAGCACAAGCAGGTCTATCATTACCACTAGTGTATAAAGTATGCAGTTTAACACTTCTTACATTAGCCATCATTAAAGCTTTTCTTTTCTAGGGGTTTCCCTCAAGAGGGTTAATACATTTGTTGCCTCTTTTCCATTTAGGCAGCATGGAACCACCTTGGGACACTCTTATAATCCCTCTACTCTTTTCATTATTTCCCATAACCAGTTAGTGACATAAAGGACATTTACATTTTCTGGCTATCAGTTATTTAAGACTTGTAACAAAAAAAAAAAAAGTGAATTTCTGAAAAGAGTCATCTCTCCTAGAGGCCCTTCTTGTTTCTACTTCAAGCACTACTCAGTGTCCTTCTTTTCTCCACATCTTTCAGAACACCCTCCGGACACCTGTGTACACAACCTCCCTGAGAAGGAATGCCATGGGGGCTGGCCTTGTTTTTGAAGCTGATCTTTACACTACAAAGCACATTTCCCATTGGGTCCTGCAAGGCGTTTGTCTCACCTTGAATGCAGACTGACAGGCTGAAGTTGGCAGTAGATTTCCACCACCTCACCCCCCCCC